AAATAAATAAATAAATAAAATCTTAAAAAAAAAAATAGTATTAAAAAAGGTGCAAAATAGTATCTAATAGAGGCTATCCTCTGTGTAAACAACAGGCGCCAGGTGGGAGACTACAGGGATATCCTTGCTTACACAAGTGAAGTATTTTTAGGAAAGGCCTCAGGTTTCTGACCATGCTCACTATCTGTGGGGAAAGGAACTGGAGGCAGGTGGACAGGGATGAGGAGACTTCTCATGATATAACCTTTGACCTCTTTGCATTTTGAACCATGTGAACATTATTACTCATTCAAAAATCATCATCTTTTTATAAAGTATATTTGGGATACACACAAGAGATTTCTGGTTACACTTCTGGAAGCAGACCCACCAGGGACCCCTCACCCCCTGCAAGCACCAGCCAGACCCCAACCCCCCAGCCTGCACCCCCACATGCCACTCACCTGTAGCCTTCTTTGGCATCCTCCAGAGCCAGCTGCTTAAACTCCTCATACATCTTCTTGTTGAAGTGATCTCGGAGGAAGAAGGACCAGAAGCGGAACAGAGTGTTCATCTCCTGAGACTGGCCAATGCCCAAGCGTTTCCGCTCTGATGGGGGAGGTAGGAGGAAAGACTGATCAGGGTCACACTGCCTGTGATTCAGGGGACAAATGTTCTTGGGCTCAAGGACTCTGGTCCTTTCTCCTATACTCCCTCCCCTCCCAATTCCTTTGCTCATCCCCTGTCCTTTTGGTCTTTGAAGAGACAGTTACTGAGCACTATCCTATGTCAGGCCCTGCTGCTGGGCACTGGACCTGACCTCAACACAAGCAGGTGGCATCAGCTTCTAAACCAGGTCACCGGGGTCTAGCTGTTCACCTCAAATACTCCTGCTTGCAAGCGTAGTTAGAACAAGGAAAAGCATGAACAAATAATTTGGCAATCCAACAACTTATACTCATTACCAATCATTATTTTCAGAGTCCTAGAATATTAACAATTACAAAATGGTAACATTAAAAATACACAACACCAAAGCACAAACAACAAAAGAAGAGATATATTTAGTATCATTAAAAAACCTAGTGGCGCCTGGGTGGCTCAGTCGTTAAGCATCTGCCTTGGACTCCGGTCATGGTCCCAGGGTCCTGGGATCGAGCCCCCCATCAGGCTCCCTGCTCATCAGGGAGTTGGCTTCTCCCTCTGCCTGCCGCTCTGCCTACTGTGTTCTCTATCTCTGTCAAATAAATAAGATCTTAAAAAAAAATTATAAAATAAAAAACTAAAAACCTCTGTGCTTCAAAGGACACTATCAACAAAGTGAGAAAACAACCCAGAGTGGGAAGAAGTATTTTCAAATCATGAATCTGATAAGGGACTTGTACCTAGAATATATAAAGAACTCTTATAATTTAATAATAAAGACAAATAATCTAGTTAAAAAGTAGGCAAAGGATCTGAATGGACATTTCTCCAAAGATACACAAATGGCCAATAAGCATATGAAAAAAAATGTTCAACATGAACAGCTATTGGGGAAATGCAAATGGAAACCACGAGGAGGTATCCCTATCACCTCACACCTATTAGGATAGCTATCATCAGAAAGATAGACAGCAAGTGTTGGGAGGATGCAGAGCCATCAGAAACCTCATACTTTCTGTCAGGAACAACAAATGGTAGCCCTGCCTTGGAAAACAGTCTCACAATTCCTCCAAAGGTTAAACACAAGAGTTATCACATGACCCTGCAAATGAAAACCTACGTCCACACAAAAATGGACATGTTCATAGCGGCATTATTCATCATAAACAGAAAGTGGAAATCCAAAGGTCCATCAGTGATGGAGAGACAGACATGACGTGACGTATCCCTCTGCTGGAGTGCCACCAGGGCCGAGGAAAAGAATGAAGCACCAGCGCCACGCTACAACAGAGATGAAGTGTGAGAACAGCATGCTCAGGGAAGAAGCCAGTCACAAAGGACTGCTAATCAGATGACTGTATTACCAGGAAAAGTCCAGAACGGGCAAGTCCACCCAGACTGGAGGTTGTGCAGGCCTGGGAGGAGCTGCAGGGATGGAGATGGGAAGTGACCTGTAAGGGGCACAGGGTTTCTTCCGGTGGTGATGAAAATGTTCTAACATCGATTCCGGGGATAGACATACAACTCTGGAATATACCGAAAGCCACTGCACCATACACTTTAAATGGGTCGACTGTGGAGTATGAGTTCTATCTCCATAATGTGGTCACCATACACAAGCACACGGGGGAGTAAGGCAGATGAGCAAGCATTTAGCAGCCCTGTGCTGCTAACTGAAAAGGGGTGCGGCAGTTAGCGAGAACTACAGGGGAGCACTAAGACTGCTTCTGAGCATCTTTACAGCCAACCTGAAAGAATCCTACAGTTAAGAGACATCTCATTTTGTGATAAAAGGAAACACATGGGAATATCCAGAGATTCTTTCCTTACACCGTCTTCTAAGAGCAGGGGTCAGCAAACTTTTTTCTGTCAAAGACCAGAGTAAATATTTTAGGCTTTATAGGCTTCATATGGTCTCGGTCATAAGTTCCTCTCTTTTTCCTTCATAACCCCTTAAAAATGTAAAAACAGTTCTTAGCTCAGGGACTGTACAAAAATAGGCAGCTAGCTGGATTTGGTCCACAGGCCATGGTTAAGCCACCCCTGCTCTAGAGAATCTATGCCGCCCCATGCACACCCTTTTATGATCAACAGTGGATCACAGTGGACAATAGCTGACTTAGCAGTCATGCCAGAAATAGGTAAACTTTTGAAATTTTTTATTATCAATAGAGGAAGATCAAAGAACAGAAATGTTCTCAGTATCAGATTCTTTTAGCCTCCTGTATCCCAAAACTACCCGGCCCGAGTCTAACAACTCCAATCCTTCTTGCTCTAAGGTCAGAGAGAGCAGAATCACCTGCTCCACCAGCCCTTAAACTCTGGACTTAAGCAGTGGCCCCAGAGGCTAGGCCCCTCTGCCTCTGTGCTTACCATTAAGGCAGCGCCTACGGTACTTGTGGTAGACGTGTTGTGTGAAGCCATTTTCCTTGAGCAGCTCATGGGAAGGATGCTGGAACTTGGGCAGGGACTGAGGGGTACAGCCATAGCTGCCAACTGCAGGTGTTCCTTCTGAGGGGCTGGAGCTAGAGGCCAGGAGAGAGACTGTGTCACCAGCTTCCCTGGAGCGGCTGGCCATCAGGTGAGGAGGGGCCCCTCTGGTCCATCAGCCAAGCTCTAGCCTCTCAAAGGGCAACAAAGAGCCCTAAGTACTGTGGAAGGCCAACTTATATCCTTCAGCCCGAATCACTCTTTGAGTCGACCTTTGGTGGGTTTTACAAAGCACCCACTGAGGCTCAGAGACTGGGAGACTTGGCCTGGGTCATGGACTGTTTTACATCCCAGATCGGCACAATGCCCAAACCCGAGCTTAGAAGCATTTATTTATCCCAAGTTCACATTTAACTTTCTTTGATGAGCTATTATGGGGTAGTCCATCTGTGTTTTCCTTTAACCATGCTATTCTCCGTCCGCACCATCTCTGCAGGGAGGAGAGTGCACAGGACAGGGGCTCCCAAACGTTGCTCTTGAACAGGGGAACACCAGGGCAGTTTTTTGGGGGGCGGGGCCTGAACCCTACCCCCAAGAAGCTGAGTCAGTGGATCTAGGGTGGGGCCCAGGAATCTGTATTTTTATTTAATGACCTGGCTATCCTGAGGCAGGCAGCAGATATCATCCCTGAAATCAATTCACAGATATTCTCTCTGAGAGAATCTGGTCCCAGGCGGCTGTGACCACTTCTTTGGGAAAACCTTCCCAGGCCCTGGATTACCTTCTCTAGACTTCTCCAGATTTTTGGAATTAGGTTAAGGGTCCCTTTCTTTAATTTACAGACCAAAGAGGTTCCTTCTTCTTGGTCCCATCAACTGCCTGGCTTTCCCGCCCACCCTGCTGTCAGCCTCATCTCTCCTCTACACCGCGCCGGCACCTGATGGAAGCTGTCCGGGGCCTGTGCTCTCGGGAATCCATCACCCAGCCCACATGACTCTCCAGGGGCGGGTTTGAGCTGTGTCTTGTCTTCCTTTTCCGAGGCATCTGCAAAGGTCAGTCCAGAATTTGCTATTAACTCACAGAACTCTGAGGAACACCAAGCATTTGTAGGACTAAGATCCCCTCATGTGTGTGAGTTATTCACAATTTACAAAGCATTTTCATATCTAGTCTCTCACACGAGGCTCACAGCTCTGAGCCAGGAAATGGTATGCCGATCTCACAGGTGAGGAAATCGAGGCTTGGGAGCCCAAGGATCCACACCTGGTCAATCCTCCTAGGGCCTTATCATGATGACATGGGGCCAACCACCTCCACACCCAGTCCCTCTCCCAGATGTGGCCACTCGATCCCGGGTGGGCCCACCAGCCTAAGAACACAGAGCAGGTCTGGGATTTGGCAGTCTCTTGGTTTAGGCAAGGGAAAGCAGCAAAGCACTGGAACGCGGTTAAGTGAGCCCAAGAGTCTTAGCCCCCCAGCAGGAGCGCCTCACCTTGGCATCTAGCGTCCGTCCTTCTTTCACTACTGGGTAAAACCGTGATGTCTGACTTGAGTCTTTGAGCTGCGGTGTCCGGGGAGTGCGGGGGGTCCTGGTATTGCGGTAGTTTGGCGACTCTGGGACAGTGGTTGGTAGAGAACGGGCGATGGTGGAGGGCTCAGGAGCACCAAACAATTTGTTGGCCAGGGCATCAGTGGGGACTGCAGAGAGAGAGTGGGCCAGTGAGCAGGGGTAGGCCTGTGACTGTCTGTACCTGGGAGGCCCCCCGTCAGAGGGCTGTATTTGCCCACCCAGGCTGCGGTCCCAGGTGTCACCCCTCTCTCACCTTGTTGGAAGCGGGGTGGCCCAGGAGGGACCTCCTGGTTGGGATCCACCGGGGGCTCTGGGGTTAGTGTGTCAAACTGTTCCCGGCTGATCATATTGACTTTCTTGAAGTTCTCGACTTCTTGCTGCAGAGGATAAAAGATGGGCGGGGAGACAATGTTAGTAAGAAACTGCCCCAGCCTGTTCAGGAATCAAGACATGCAGGAAGTTGCAGGGGGCAGCTCCCACATCCACATACGTGGAATTCTGGTCCCCAGGCTCTCAGCTGCCCCACACCATTCCCCAGCCCCAGTTACCTGGGCACGAGTGTGCCAACCCAGAAGGACTGAGCGCCTGCCCAGCCCTCTTTGCAGCAAGACAGATGAGGAGCTCCCTACAGACCCCTGACTCTGGCTCTCACCTCCACCAAACGCCCTGCTGCTTACTACTACACAGGCTCACCTCACAGAGCTCTCTCTAAAACCCTACAAGTTTTGACTGTTTCCAGACAGCGGTGATTTTTTTAAACCTGTCTTTTCTCTATCTTCCATACTCAAAACAAGCTCCTGAAAACTTTTATTATATATAGGCCTGAAAAAAAAAGTTTTTTTTAAAGATTTTATTTATTTTTTGACAGAGAGCGAACACAAGCAGGGGAAGTGGGAGAGGGAGAAGCAGGCTTCCTGTGGAGCAGGGAGCCCGATGCGGGGCTCAATCCCAGGACTCTGGGATCATGACCTGAGCCGAAGGCAGACACTTAACGACTGAGCCACCCAGGCGGCCCAGGCCTAAATTTTTAAGAAGAGAAGTAACAATCCAATCTCTCTTCTCTTCCCCACTAGTGTGGCTGTCAGGACATTAAACGTGGACATTCAGGCGGCACAATGATCGCCTCTCATGGTGACACAGCTTACAAAGTGTCTCTACATCTCTCCTCACTTCATGCCCCAGCAGGGTGTCAATTACTACCCCCTTTTCACACAAGAGGATACTGAGACTCTGCCCAAGGGCACACAGCGAATCAGCCTTCCTCTTTCCCATATGTTACAGACCCTCCACGCTCCACCCCCACACTGCTGTGTCCGAGCCTCACCTTGATCTGGGAATACTCAGGTTCAAACTTCTCAGTCCACAGGTCCTGCTCGTAGTAGAAGAGCCCATCGTTAATGACCTTGGCCAGCTCAGCACTCATCTTGGCACGCGAGGTGTGGTTGCCTGTGCGGTCCCCCCCAGGGTGCCGACGCATATAAGGTGGCGTCTGGGTGACAATGAGGATCTTGTTCACATCCCGGTCATCAATCTCATAGTCAGAGTCCTCATCAGACCAGGCGGTGAAGGTGTTCTTCCGCCCATCCATCTGCTCCATCTCCTCGTCAAAAAGGAAATCTAGCTCCTCTTGCTCATCCTGCTCCTTGGACATCAACTGCTGAGAAGGCAGCTGCTGAGGCAGAGAGGTCGTGTGGAGGAACCTGGGCTCCTCTGACTTCTAAAATGGGCAAGATCAAGGATGGGGGGTGAGATCACCAGGGGGTCCTTGGACTAGCCTCTGTAGCTGTCGACCCAGAGGGAGGCCCTGGCCATGCCAGCAAGCCAGAGCTGCCAGCCCTGCAGCCAGTCCCCCAGGACTCTCGGTTTCCTCTCTCCCAGCTCACGTCACAGTCATTCACAATGAGGTGACAAGGCCCCACAGCCACCTGTGCTCTCATTTACCTAGCCTGGGGGTGGGCACACAGCGTAAGTTCTACAGGTTAATCCATCCATTCCATCTACCCAAAATCTCTCCAAGAAAATGGAAGCTTCATCAGGCAGGGGCCACGGCTGCCTTGCTTCCCATCGTATTCTTAGTACTTAGACTGGGACCTAGCAATAGCAGATGCTCGACTGTTTGATGAGTGAGCAAGAACCCACTGATACAATGCCCTACAGAAGACATAATTCTTGAACTTAAAGCAGCTCACAGTTTGGTGGGAGAAAAGTCAAACAACCAGCCAGCCAAATACAATGTGGTGTTGGTAAAGATTATAAATAAAATTTGTGGACTACACAGGGAGAGGCACTTTACCAAGTAGAGGTGGGAGTGGGAACAGCCTGGGAAGGCTTCCTGGGAGACGTAATTACTGAAGAAGGATGAGCATAAGTAAGCCAGATGAAGGCAGGGACAAAGAGTGTATGAGGCAGAAAGAACAGCATGTTCCAGAGGCAAGAGAAAACAGGGTGCTTTTGGCAAAAAGAAAATATTTTAGAGTGTTGCTAGGATGAATTTATCTGAGACTCTGGGGCAGAAGCATTTGTCCACCTCACAATTTATATCCAAAAAGTCAATTCCCTGCTTTGCAAAAAGCTTCTCATATAAACTCCAAACTTACTCTCTTTTAAGGCTCAAGATAGGCCAGGTGGGAGCAGGGCTCTAATTCTGGAATAGGGGCTAAGCCTGTCTGCTTTCCAAACCTTCACAGTCTGTAGGCCTGGACCTCATAAGGTCCCTGTCCACTGTTTTCGTCATGACTCTGGCCTGATCCCTGACACTCTATGAAGGACCACAGCCAGAAGAAATAGGGAAGTTGGGGTGTGAACAAGAGGGAGGCAGTCACAGTGGCACAATGGAAAAGGGCACAGAGATTTTCAGAGACCTAAAGTCCAAGGTCAACTGTGAGGCCTCCTCACAAGCCCCAGACCAAAGAGATCTCCCAAGAGATGGGGAATGGGGCAGATGGGAGTACACATCTGCTCCTGGAAGAGGGGCACCAGTTTTAGTCTGAAATGAAAACACTTCTTGAGGAGTGGACTCGACGTGTACTACTGGCATATTGCTTTACAATTTCTAGAAGAGTCTAAGCCCTTCTTTCTTTCATCTGAAGATAGGAACATTGAAGACCTGAGATATTAAACAAGCTTCCCAAGGTCAACAGCCATCAGTGATAGGAGACCTGTGTTCTCATCTAGACTAACTCTACATCCAGGCCATGTGTCTGCTCCCTTTCCCTTCGCTCTCCACAGGGCCTGAGTGGCTTATATAGGGGACAACGAGGGCATACTCAGGCACCACGGCAGCCCCAGCGATTTCGATGGGGCAAGACAAAGAGCCAAACACCAAGAAACCTGGGACACTGCTGCCAGGGGCCACAGGATTTCCTCCTGTGAAGACTGCCACTCAGGAACTCACACAGCAGGAGCTGTCCTGAGAGGTGATCCTCACTGGAAAAGGACATGCGCCCACCAGTTTTCCCGCAGTCCCTGCTGACCTCGGCTCGCATCACAACCCCAGAGCCAGCCGGCCTGTGGGCTGAGCCCCTCTGAGTCCCGGGCCCCACCCACCTTGGGCCGTGCTGGGGATGGCCGCGGCCTCTTCTTCACTTCAATCCAGTTCTCAGAATCCAAGTCAGGCAGGCTGGCAGAGAGGCCCTTGGGCAGCGTCTTTAAGTTGCTGACCTCCTCTGTTTTGGTTGGCACTGGGGTGACTGCACGGGGAGAACCAGGTGCTGACTCTAAAGGGTGGAAAGGTGAGGTCCTCAACCTTCCAGTCCTCCTCCTGATGCCAGCTCTAAGGAGGCCTGCTGGCTGGAGGACAAGGACAACAGGAAGGCACCTTCAGGCCAGCAAGACCTACCTGTCTCCTTCTGGTAATGCTGACGGGGCACAAACTCAGGGCAGTTGAGAAGCTGGGAGAAATCGGTCTGGGAATAATCCACTATTGGGGGACCAGGAAGAGGCCATTTCTCCGGCTCCTCCCTCCTGCGGACTTTCTCATCAACGATCTCCACCACCTTGCTGTCCTTTAGGGCCTGCAGGGGAGAAGGAAGGAGACGATGCAGAGAAAAGACTTGGACAGAATGAGGTCTTGGAGGCTGGCAGATGGATGACTGGGCCCCTCGAGCTCAGGTAAGAGTCTGGTGCTGGCAGGGGTATAAGAAAACTGGCACCATCTTCCACAACTGGCAGACAAACGAGATGTTCAAACTTGTAGGAGGGGACCAACATGGAAAACACACCTGCCCTGTGACCTTGCCACTCTACATCCACTAATTTGCCCCCAGAGAAATAGGGCCATAGACAGATGACATTATATGTAAGATTTGAATAAAAAGCCATTCACAGAAACACTGTAATATGGAGAAAATTGGAAACTACTCAACTTGCCACCACATAGACAATTTAAAATAAATGATGGCACATCCATTCAGTGGTATATGACTCAGACATTAAAAAATAGCCTCACATGTGCTGAGGTGGAAAGAGCCATAAAAAAAGCAAGTCTAGGTCAATGTGTCTAAGACGCCACTGGTGTTCGAATTTTTTTTTTTTTAAGATTTTATTTATTTATTTGACAGAGAGAGACATAGCGAGGGAAGGAACACAAGCAGGGGAGGGAGAGGGAGAAGCAGGCTCTCCGCTGAGCAGGGAGCCCGACGTGGGGCTCAATCCCAGGACTCTGGGAACATGACCTGAGCTAAAGGCAGATGCTTAACGACTGAGCCACCCAGGCGCCCCTAGTGTTCAAATTTTTAAATAAAAACATACAAACTACATACATATTTTTCTAGGATTCACAGGTAAACTGCTACGGGTGTTTATCTCTAGGAAAAAGGATGAAGAGTGGAGAAGGGAAGAGAGCTGTCTTTAAAATCTTTTTAGTGGAAAGGGGAAACACTTCAACAGCACAACACATGACAACACGCTCTGTCGGTGAGGCCGGGCCAAGAGGCACTCCGCTATACTGCTGCCGGAAGTCACTGATGAAAGGGAACCCAGCAGTCTGCAACTTGCCCCATAGTGCAGTCTTCTCACTTCTAGAAATCTACACCAAAGATACACTGGCAAAAATACAGAAAGATATATATGCAACTCTAAGTAGGAACGAAGTACTATTACGCAGGCAGCTCCCAGATGTATTAAGTTAAAACAAAAGAACAGGTGAAGAAATGCATGCATTACATGTTGCCATCTAACTAATACAGGGGAAGGACACAAATACACTGAGAGGCATTTGCTTATTTTTTTTAATGGAAGGATTCAAAACAAGTTGCCTATAGGGGAATAAAAGGAGAAAGGCGTAAGTGAGAGAATTTTAAGTTGGACTTCTAGGAATATACCGTGTTGACTTTAGAACCATGTAAATGTTTTACCTAAATGCAAAACAAATTAGAAATTAGAGGGGAAAAAGCAATCCCTAAAACTTGAGAGCAAAATGAAACTAACAAAACTAATATACATCAAATTAGGGACATAACTACACAAAGATTATTCCAAGTACTTGAAAATACAGTCATTTGAGTGTATAAGTAGAAAAAAACATGTTTTTAGTAGTAGTAGAGGTATTATTACGAGACTAAGGTATATAAACTCTTGAATAAAAGAAATGAGTAATTATGTTGAGGTCAACAGCAATTAGGACTTGGGTATAGGAGAAAGGAGTATTAGAGATAAAAGATCACTGGCGTTAAGTAAAGACCCTGTAGTCCTAAACTTTAATAGAAAATATCAGTATAATCTCCTGATGTATTAAAAAAAAAAAAAAAGGCTCTAAAAACAATGACCAATCAAAGCAGCAACAAACATCCCTATAACTCAAACTGTGTGGTACATCAATACCATTTCCCCAGAAGAGAGGACCTAGAACTCCTTGAAAAAATGGCTTATTCCAGATCTGAGGCAGGAAATGTACCAGATCAACCAGGGTTCCACTAACCACGGATGGGACAACTGGATTCAGCATATGAACTGCAATGGGTTCAAACAACTGCAGTATGTATGAATCCACAGGTTGGTGATGATACTAAAAGACATTAAAGCAAAAAACAAAACAAAACAAAAAACAACCAAACAAACCCAAACCCTTGAAAGTTATTGGGGATCAACTCATAATTTTGACAACTGGTTAACAAAGGGAAAGATCAAGCATTTATCCACCCTTTCTGTACAAACCATACCTCTTGGTAACTGAATAGCTGATGAGGCAAAGTTCCTCCTTAAAGAGGTATTCCAGCTAACAAATGAAGACAGATCCACAGAATTAGATTTTCACCATTTCACAATCCCTAATGAAATAACAGGCAGTGATCATCAACAGCAGCTTGCATCACAAGAGAGAACAAATGAAATGCTATGTGCCACCTGAGAGAACATATCATTATCTATAAAGCAGCCTTGACAAAGACGGGAGGAAAACCCCCCAAACCTGAATCTGATCAGGCCTCTGGATCACCAATTTACAAAAAATTTGGAATACAGAAGAACACATTAGATGACACCACTGTCTCTCTCCCATGAGAAATTAGATAAGATATACAACCCAGTTTATTCAAATAATGAATTGCAAGGAAAAAGAGAGGGGAAGAGGACACTTAGCAAGACAATACATGGGTCTTTTTTGGATCCCGAATCTCATAAAGCACATTTTTTTTTCACAAGTGGGGTGAACTGCAACGGATGGTTTGGATATATTAAAGAATTGTTAGTATCTTTTACATGTGATAATGATATGGTGACTATGTTTTTTACCAGCTATTTATCTTTTAGAGGTAAGTACTGAAACATGGATGAAATGTCAGGTTACCTGAGGTTTTCTGCAAAGTAATTTGGAAGAGGAAACAGATGGGGGATAGATGGAGTAAGACAGGCCATGAGTTGGTAACTGCTGAGGCTGGGCGATGGGTTCATCATACCATTCTGTCTACTTCTGTAAATGTCTGCAATTTTCCACAGTAAGAGGGAGAGAGAGGAGAGAAGGAGGGAGGCAAAGAGGCTGGCCAAGCCTTGAAGCTTTAGCAGAAGTCATCAGATGAGGACTCCTCCAGGGTTTTCTCCCAGGGCCCACACTCCAGCTCCGTAAGTAAGGACCTTTCCTTCCCCTGCACCCCAGCCCCAGGGAGGGAGACCTACCGCAAAGATGAGTGAAATGTCAGTGGTAAGGGCCTGCACTCGGTGGAAGGAAGCAATAAGGGTGATGGGAAGGAAACCGTCAGCATCCATTTTCCGTCGCAGGAAGAAGTCTCGCTCTAAATTGTCCACGCTGAAGTAGTACTCGCTAGGTGGAAGGGAGAAGACGGAGGATTGCTGCGTCACTTAGGAGTTGGCCTTTCTCGTCCTGTACACCCCCGCCACGTTACATAGCCTCTGACCCTATCACATGTACAGTATTAAAGGCTGAAAAGAGATGTTATCCTGTCAGGGCTCCCTAACCTCGGGTCAGACCCATTCCCCCCACCCTTCAGCCTCTCTCTATGCCTGGCAAACCCCTCATCCACCTTTAAAACGCAGTTCCACTGTTACCGTCACTTTCTCTTCTCCTAAAATACTGTGACACTCTCCTGAAACGATCTACTTCCTTGTATGGCTCCCCCACTGGACTGAGACAATATATCAAAGTGATTAGGAGCTAGGGTTTTGCCATTAGACAGAAATGGATTCAAATCTGTGCCTTGTTGTTTACTAGCTGTGAGACTCTGGGCAAGTTCCTGGGTCTGTCTGCTCATCTCCGAAATGGAGATAAGTAAGACCCAGCTCATAGGAATAAGTACAGGACGAAATAAGACAATGCCTGTAAGCACTTAAGACTGAGCCTCGCCAACAGGGCGAACTCCATAGGTGTTTGCCAGCATTCTTACCATGCTGCCATTACAAAGAGAAGTGCCAAAGGAGGTGGACTCTGAACATTCCCTCTCCTTTTTGTTGGTGGTAATTTCTAATTTTCTTAAGGCAAATATAGTGTTACTTTTGCAATAAATATTACCTTTATGAAAAATTAGCTCTTAAAGGATGAGCAGCAGTGATCTTTCTTAGCTCTAGCCAGGGGCAGCTGCTGCTGCTAGCACAGCACCAGAAGGACTGGCCCATCCCTACTCTGCCCAGCAGCCATCCTCTGACAGGTCCCCACCCCCTACGCCTCTCTCCAAGGAGGCTCCTGTCCACTCACATCTGCCGCTTGATGTAGTCTTTGAGCAGCTCCTGGTCCACGCTGTAAAGCTCAGTGCTGCTGACATTGTCAAAGTAGTAGGTGATGTTGTTCATGTACTTGGGGGTGCGAGGCCCCTCTGCACCATCAAACTTTCGGTAGCCAAACTGGTAGTCAAAATGGGCTATGGGGGAAATGGGTGCCATAAGGGAGGGGAGATCCCTGCCCACCGCCCCCGCCACACTCCCTCGGGCATCCCGGAGCCCAAAGGGGCCTCACGTACTTCGAGTGCCACCCCGGCCGCGTCCCCGGCCGCGACCACGCCCCCGTCCACGGCCACGGAAGGAAGCCCGCGCCCCACCAGCCCCATCACTCTTCACACTCGATGTCTCATCCTGGTCGTGCCAGGCAGGCTCCGGTTTGGTCTCTGGTTGCCAGGCTGGGGTGGGGGGGGCCATGGGCACGGGCACGTAGGTGGCAGGCTCAGACCCTATGGGGAGAGGGGCACTGGGTCACGCTTGAGGGTGACCCCCATGCCCAGGCACTCCATAGTGGGCGGTGCATACCTTTGATCTCCCCTCGGTTCGCAGATGTGTGTCGTGGCTCTGGTGGGCGAGCAGGGCGCGAAACCAGTTTTTCTCTGGGCACTTCAGGCTTCATGTCTATTTGCAATGGAACCCACTTGTGTTTGTTCCCTGGAGGACAGCATGGGGACATGAGGAAGGCTTGAAGGAGAGGTCCCTCCTAGCCATCCCTACCCCTGTTACTCCTCTGTCTGGAGCAATAGGTCTGATGCACAATCTGATGACCTTGGGCAAATTCCTTCTCCCACACTGGACCTCATTTTTACCTCTAAAATAAGGAAGCCATGGACCTCAGGGTGACAGACACTCCTGGCTGACTACTAATATCAGTTTCTCCATGGTCAGAGAACCCCTTTCTGGAGCCGGACACGTGGCTGCCCAAAATCGAGACTGCACTTCCAGGCTCCCTTTAGACACGTGCCAAAATTCTGTCTACGAGAGCTATGTGAAAGTAGTCAATTCCAGGTTGAGTCCTTCAAAGGGAGCTACTCTCCCCCTTTTCCATTCCTGCTAGCTGGAATGAGAAGGAAAGAGTGAGCCACCTTGGATGAGAAGAGCCAACATACCACCACAAGATGAAAGGAAAATGAAATGAAATGGTTGCCATTCTAGGGCTGGCCTACTTAGACCCAGCTGTCAGGTGAGAGAAAGAAACTTCTATATTGTTTAAAACACTGTTACTTTGAATCTCTGTTAGAGCAGCCAACCTGTAACCCTAAACACCTTAGCCAAGGCAATGAACTCTTGTCTTCAAACAGAATCTTACATGGGACAGCAATACAGCAAGACACACTGATTATTCTGAGTCAGGGACCTCATCTGTTCTGTGCACTGCTAGAGCCCAACTGCTGAGAACAGGGCCTACCGGATGCTTGTTAAGTAACAGAAGGAACGGACAGACGGAAGGCAGAAGAGAAGGCTGTTAGCCCAGTGGCCTACGTCAGTCAGCCTCCCAAGGACTTCTCAGGGCTATGGAAACTCATCCAGCAACCCCAAGTTCAGACACTTCACAGTTCTGCCTGCCGCTTCTCCCAGAGCCCTGCTGCAAGCCACTCACCTTTCTTCTTCTGACCCCCTCGCTGGCAGTCCTCATCCCCATTCTTCTCCTCCCCAGATTCATCCGACTTGGTTTTCGGGCTCTCTTTACTATCGCTCCCCTCTCCTTTCTCCTGTTCCTTCATGTCCTTTTTGGGTGGCAGCTTACGGGCAGGCTGGGACTTGTGGGACTGTGGCTGCAGGGGGAAGCAGAGGAAAAGGGAGGTGGGGTGAATCTGAGAGCCTCCTGGGATGGACAGGAGGGAACCCCCGCCACTAGAAAGACAGGGCAGAGGCGCTGGAGCATGCAACAAGGAGTTGGACTAGACGGAATCTAAGGTCCCGTTTTTACGCCTAAGATGCTTCCACTGGGAAGTGTGGTCAAACACGCAGCAGGTGGGACGCTCCATCTTCCTTGAGTCTAAGGGACAGAAAGAACCCTCAGGACACAGGGGTGAGGCCACAGGGGCCAGATGTATTTACCCCCCACAAGACCATACCGTCCCAGTAGTCTGTGGGATGGAAGGGATGCCAGCCCTTGGCTTGCCCACAGCAACCCCGTCTGTGAACTGAAGGCCAGCAGCCACAGCTAGTGAGGGATCTAGGCCATGAGCCCAGAACAAAAGCACCCAAAAGCGAGGACTGATCCGGAGTTCCCCCTGTGCTGGCACTGACGAGTGCTGCACAAGCCTCCCTGAGACACATGGTCTAGAGGTGGGTATCTGGCCTAATGGCCACTCTCCCGCTTCACTCACTGGCAACCCAAGTACAAGTGATGGAGAACACAAACTCCGGAATAATGTAACACACTTGACTTCCAATCCCCACTTGACCATCAAGGGCTGGTTATGAGCCTCTCCCAAGGGCTCAGAGTTATTACCTTCAGTGGCCTCATCTGTAAACGGGAATTACTGAAGGACCTATCTCTAAGTCACTGTGAGGGACAGGTGAAACGGTAAGTAGCACTTGGCAGTTCCTGGCATACAGCAAGGGCTCAAATGATGATGATTCTTAGCGATTTCAGTGCTGCCATATTATACCAACCACTCCTCTTAAAAAACTGAGAAAAAACCAGGAAAGGGAAGATCCAAGGCTCTGAGAACTTAAAAGAAGCCAAATGTGTATACGTCCACAGCATTCAAACCTGCCCATTCTTCCCCAGAGACGCACCTGTACGCTCTTGTGGGCTATCTCTCCAGGTGTGGGCCAGTTGATTGCATCTCCAAAGTCACCAACCTGCAAGACACATTCTATGAGGGCCCTGGGGTGGCCTTGTCTCTGCCATTCAGCCCCTCATTCAACATACCATTCCCCCAAGAGATCAGAAGCCACAATCAGTCTGTCCACTAGGATCATCCACACTGGAGGCCCAGACGGGGCTCCCCTGCTATTGAGAGCATACAGAACTACCTCGAAGTTCAGAAGAGGCCACACCACCTCTTTCTTCAAGAAGTCCCCTTAGGTTGCCCGCTCCACTCCTTACCTTGCTGCCTTTGCGCTGTTTAGGAACTGCTGCCCTCACCACCTTGGCTGGAGCAGAATGTTCTGTGGGAACAAGAAGGGAGAAACGGTTATGCAAAACCCATGGAGGGGCCACCACTAGCTCCTCGCCCTCATTACCACCCCTACTCCATCAAGCAACCTGCAGGTTTCCAAAGGAGGAAGACATGGTGAAGAGGGGAAGGACACATGCTCAACCACCAGTAACAACCGTACCAGCCTCTCTCGGGAGAAATCATGGAAAGTGAGATCATGGAAACAATCAGCAGCCAACACCCCAGGAACTCGACTCTGAGGCAGAAGGGCCCTCCCAGCTCTGTACCCTCCTATAAAGAGGGCCCTGAGCCCTGGAGAGGGTAAGTCCGTGGCAGACTGGGGCCATGCCAGAGCTGGCTCTATAATGAAGGCTCCCTAATCCCAGCAGATTCCATAAAGGAAGGATCTAAAAGGCCTTCTCTAGCTCTAACACTGTGGAAGTCTGTGTATAAGCAGACCTGGGCTAGTAATCATGGGAAAGGCAAGATAAAAACCCTGAGCTGGCAATCAAGTCCAGGGCTCTCTTCTAAGCCTCCCATCTCCCCAGTGGGGCCAGCTCTGTCCTCAATGACCTGCAGTCAACAGAAGGGCTAGCCACTCAGGAAAGACTCTCTGCTCTCCAAGTTCCCAAAGCAAAAGTGAGACCCACTTGACTCAATGGTCCTACCTTTAGGAATTTATCCTAATCACACAAATTAGATGAGTGCTTAGAGTTATGTAAAAAGATGTCGTCCGTAACAGAAGTGCTATTTCTAACTTCAAAATACTGAAAACCTTCATGTCCAACAGCAGAAACCTGGCTAAAGAAATTAAAGTTTAACAATTTTTAGTCATTAAAAAGATAATGCTCTCTACCAGAGATAAAAGATATGAAAAGATAAACACAATAAATGAGAAGACTCGTAATCCTATTTTTATAAAGCAAATAAAAAACATGTATATTTAGGGGCGCCTGGGTGGCTCAGTAGGTTGAACATGTGATTCTTGGTTTCAACTCAGGTCATGATCTCAGAGTTGTGAGCCTCACATGCTAAGGGGGGAGTCTCCTTGAGATTCTCTATCCCTCTCCCCCCTGCCCCTCCCCCTGCTCTCTCTCTCAAATAAATATTTTTTAAAAGCCCCATGTATATGCACATATACACAAATAGGAATATCTGGAAGGCCATATAACCAAGTATTATCAGGAGTAAAGTAGTATGTTAACAGTGATTTAATTCTGCTTGGAATTTTCCAGTCATTTCAACAAAGACATGGGCTTTAAAAAAAAAAAAAATTTTTTTTTTTTTAAGGAAGTAACTCTAATAGGTCTGGTCCCTTCCACACCTACACTTATTTTCCAAACACACTTCTGAAGAACAAGGGTTTCTGAACCCTGCCACCCTCAGAAACCCATGGGAAAAGGTACATCCTGAGGCTCTGCTCACCCACTTCTCTCTCACTTTGCCTCCACTGTTGGCCAACGATGCCAAGACAAGAGCTGCCCTCAGTCCCTGAATAGAGATATCTGCCTAGCTGGCCTCAAAAGGAATTTTCTATTCCTTGAACAGACCCATGTTCTCTTAATGAGCAGAGAGAGTCCCTGACTCCTGTGAGGCCACAGCATTCTTGGGTTTTCAAACCCTACCAGAGCCACTGCCCCCTCAAGATATCCCACATGCCTTCTAAAAGCTGGAGCTGTGGAACCCAGCTCTGATCTTCCATCCTCAGTGCCAGACAGGGGAAACCCAGAAAATCTCTCAGTCCCAAGAGGATGAAGCTCATAGGACCGGGGAGCTACTATGTACCTACTTCCTTGCCAATCCTGGGTGCCCCAGAGAAGTCTACCACCACCCAGGTCCCAGACGAGGCTGCTGCTTAGAACCAGGACCTGGAGGAAGCAGCTGCTGCAGGTGACTACACCGGAGTTATGGCAATAATCACTTCTCCACGGACCCAAGCTCCAGCCCCCAACAACACTCCCCGCATGCTATCAGGACAAGAGCAGGCCAAGGGCCTGAAACTTCAAGTTCATTAACAAGAAGTGGGAAAGGAGAATCAGGCTCAGAGGTGAGGTGTTCCTGAAGACTTTTCTTGAAAAGATGAGGCTAAGTTTTTCAGGTCATTGTCTGTTTCTTCTAATAAAAATAAAAATAATAAAAACTCTTAAAATTGGGAAGAGTCATATCCTGTGATCACCCTGCCTGACATTTCATTTCACCAAGATCACAAAGGGACATGTAATGTACTGAAAGTTGGGTCTCCAATTAATGTGAGAGCCATCCTGCCACTAAAAGACCATACTGATTCCCTATTCCCTCACCAACCCCAAGATGACCGAAGGAATACGGCTAGTCTGGGCATACACAGGAATATTCTTCAAGTAGTCCTGTGTGCAGTTTGTTGAAAAGGCCCCATGTCTAGCTAGCCTCCCTCTGCCCCCAGGACCCATAGTGCCCTGCTCTTGCTCTGCTCGCAGCTAGAGCCTCAGGCTGCCCCTACGCCAAGAAGAACAAAGTCTCCTAGAAAGACAGAAGAGTCCACTAGGGAGAAAGAACTACTTCTGCCTTTCTGTAGAATTCCTAGATCTGTTAAAATCCTGTGGGGCCTAGGAGAAGCCGGGAAGGCTCAAGTGCATTGCTGTCAGGCCCTGCGGGAGACTAGAAAAAAGACTAGGCTTTCTGACTTCAATTACACATCCCTTTCTGGGTCCCTCTGCCCCCGCCATCCCCCTTCACCAGGCAACCAACTAACACACACTCTCTCTCCAGCTCCACAATAGATACAGGGCTTGGCATCTGAAATGGCTCCCAATGAAAACCAATCCTTTGTGCAGGTGCCAGTCCCCACGTCCAGCATCATCCCAGCCAAAACAGGGAACAAGCCCCCTCCTCCGCCTCTGCATTCTGACACGTGTGCCAGCTGACCCACACCCAGCTCAGCAAACACTAAACTCACCACCCTGCACCTGCCCAAGGAAACAGAGAAGGTTAGAGCAGCAAAAAGGACCATGGTTCTAATCCCCTCTGCTTGCAGATAGGGAACCGAGGCCCTAGAGGGGCCTCCCTAGGGAAGAGCCAGGGTGAGAGCCGGAAGTCCCAACTCTCTTGGTTCAAGTGCTCTTCCGGCTTGCCACAAATCCCACGTGTCCACTGGTAGGGTCAATACTCCTTTCTGGTGCCATCTTAGGGCCCTTCCCCAGTGTATGCCGGTAAACAGAGTTATTGAAGGCTGGGAGAGGTTCTCAGGTACTGAGGGAGGTAGAAGTGTGGTGAGGCAGGCCCTACTTGAGGCCCACCATTCTAAGGGAGCAGGATGGCAGAGAGAGGCCCCAGGAAGACCTGCCTCCTTGATTAAGGCAAGTCCAGGGCTAACCGGTATCTGGAAAAGAAGAAAAGCCACTTTCTGTCCCATAGGACCATCTTCAGCCAGGAGTCAGTAGTGATTCTAGTTCCAGGGGGTCCAGGGGCTTCCTAAATATACACGTGCATTTGGGTATTAAATGAAGCCCACCAGAACCTCTCTATGTGTGGTTGTGGTCGTAGAGGTAGAACACCAGGAGACTATCTGCATGGCCAACTCACTATTTTCACTTCAGATTGAGTGCTGCGGACCAGGGGAGCTAACCCACCACGGCTAATGCAGGATACCAGGAAACGAGGTAGGCCAAAGGTGGGTGCTGAGGGTGGGCAGGGCAGAGCGCAGCTCCCGTGCAAAGTGGAGTGGCTGCCCACACCACACTGTCTAACCCTCTCAGATTCACTCTCTCCGCCTCAACTGTCACCCCTGCATTCAAAGACGGTCTAGGAATGCAGACAGCCCATCGTAACGACATGGACTTTGGTATCTACTGCACATACTCTGCCCCCGGAGAACCCCTCTGAACTGGTTTCCTAATTTCCTAATTCAGTCTCTACGACTGAAGTCCTAATTATCTCATAGCACCGCCGTGCCAGTCACATGAACAGAGCATAAGAATGCCCAGCACACAACAAATGCGAAGTATGTCAATTCAGATTCACACAAAAAGTTCACTATTTTTCCAAGTAATCCTCATCCTCATCATTAAAAAAGAAAAAAAAAAAACCCATCAAATGATCTCTCAACATGAAAAGAATCAATGTGTGGAGAAAAACTCCTGGGCATCAATTGGCTCAATTCACTGATTCAGATTTGAAATGCCACCCCCCTCCCCCCGGACTCCAGCCTGCCTTTCTTCCGGACACCACCCTCTATAGACAGGCTGGGCTCCAGGGCAGGTTTCCCCAGGAAAGAGGAAAGAAAGAGGGGGAAATTCACCACAAGTCCCTGGGGAGGCTTTGGTATAAGCCCCTGCCATGCTAGAGGAAGGAAGAGCATAGGGAAGGCTTGGAGTTCTGACTTCAATTACACATCCCTTTCTGGGTCCCCTCCCCGCCATCCTCAATTTTTTACTCAGAGTGGAAGGAAGAGAGCCTGGCCTCGAGGAGTATCTCTCAGTCTACAAAGGGACCAAACCCATAAACACCTGGTATAAAGCCAGATAAAACAAACACATTTTCTATATTGTCTTGTTCTAGAAAGATCCTAATGCTACTGATCCTTTGCAATAAAAGCAACCTAGAGGGGCCTCATCTAGGAGATCTAAAGAGCAAAGACTTGGTCAACCAGTGAGAAACTTAGGGGGGTTTTAGGGGGAGAAGGCACATGTAGTCACTCATCAGATCATGGTAAAAAGAACTGGTAGGAGGGAGAAGCTGGAAATGAAATTGGGGGACAAACGTGGGTAAAGGGTGAGACCAGGCTGGGCCAGATGGGAGAAAGCCTGTAGGAATGAGTGGGTGGCCAGAGATTTCAGCCTCAGTGCCAGCAGAATGGGGAAGGCCTAATGTTTATTTTGGGGCTGGCACCATTTCCTGGAGATTGGCATCTGAAAAGGTTAAGTTTACCCTGACTGGAAAGAACTTCTACTTTGGGGAACAAGGGAATTTATTAGGCTACATAGGGGCTGCATTACTTGAGTTCACACTCACCCACCTGTGGACCTTTATCTG